TTTTTATCCAGCTGTATTTATTCAGTGCAGCTTATAATATCCGAGTGAAAGATAAAACACCAACATGTCAGAAAAAATAAAAAATAAATAAACAGAATCACTTTGGAAAAAGTTGGAGTTAGAAAAAGGATCACCCCCTCCTAAAACTGACTTGTAAACTCAATCAGGTGTAGCTAATCAGCTTCTCAATGGCATTTGGCTTTCAACTGTGATCAGCTGTGGTCATTTTTAGGGAAACCCGGTATTTAATCGGTCCCGGGGCTAAATTATGAAAGACCGGTGTATCGATAAGCTCTGACGTTAACAGTTCTGCTATCGGTACTGGAGAAATTAAGAAAACACATATACATTTATTATTGCTATATATACATTATCTTGCAAAATCTATCTCACCAGAGTCGCCAGCTGTTTTTCAAACATTTGTCTATGATGCATTTTTGCTATTCGCAATTCAGAAGCAAGATCGCGCCCACGCGGAAAAGCTTCAGCACGCGCAACATGAAAGCCCTGTTTAATTATGATAGAAGAGAGAACTAAACATTCAAACATCTGCTTACACTTTAGGCCTGTGGCGGTTTTATTAAGCTAATTTAATTTTTTTATTTCGATTTTGGCTTCTAAGGATTATACAAAAGAAGACATGAGGTAAAGCTATTAAAAACTAGCTGCGTTTTGTAGTACCGAAACCCGGTATTTAATCGGTCCCGGGGCTAAATTATGAAAGACCGGTGTATCGATAAGCTCTGACGTTAACAGTTCTGCTATCGGTACTGGAGAAATTAAGAAAACACATATACATTTATTATTGCTATAGATACATTATCTTGCAAATTCTATCTCACCAGAGTCGCCAGCTGTTTTTATATGCAATAATATTCAAACATTTTTCTATGATGCATTTTTGCTATTCGCAATTCAGAAGCGTGATCGCGCTCGTGCGGAGGAGCTTAAGCACGTGCAACATGAAAGCTCTGCTTAATTATGATAGAGGAGAGAACTAAACATTCAAACGTCTGCTTACACTTTAGGCCTGTGGCTGTTTTATT